CTGCCTTTAGCAGTTGTGGCTCATGTTGATTTGAATGCTTTTTTTGCTCAAGTAGAGCAAGTGAGATTAAACCTAACTGCAGACGATCCTGTTGTTTGTGCTCAATGGCAGTCTTTGATTGCAGTATCCTATGCTGCCAGGAAATTTGGAATCGGTAGGATGGATACAATTCAGTCTGCGAGACAGAAATGCCCAAATATCATCATAGCCCATGCAGCAGTTTTTAAAAAGGGTGATTCTTACTGGTCCTATATTAGAGGATTACCTGATAGATCTGTTCATAAGGTACTGTTGGACCCATATAGAAGAGAAAGTAGAAAAATTATGAATATCTTCAGGGAATACTGTGATTTAGTTGAAAAGGCTAGTGTCGATGAATGCTTTTTAGATTTCGGAAGAATGATTTACTATACCTTACTTCAATTATTTCCAGAACTAGGTGATGAAGTAGAAAATATAAACAGTAGTCTACCAAGTGTTCCTTCAACATTGCCTGATTCTTTATATTGGGTAGGGGAAATTATCAAATCAGAAAATGAAATACCAAGAAACAGCGATAATGATCAAGAACCCAAGGCTAATGATCCAAGAATTAGAGATTGGGATGATGTATGCATGTTAATTGGATCACAATTACTTTACGAAGTTCGTCTACAGGTTTTCAAGGAATTGGGTTATACCACTTCGGGTGGTCTAGGTAAGAATAAGATTATAGCTAAAATAGCAGGGGGCTTTTTAAAGCCAGACAATCAAACAATTATTAGAACCTGTCTGATGAATAATTTTTTAAAGAACTTCCAATTAATTGATTTTAACGGAATGGGGGGTAAAACTGGTGATGTGATAATGCAACGTCTTGAAGTACCTCCTGATGTCAATTCCATTTCATTTATTCGTAATAATTTTTCTTTGGAGGATATTCAAAAAGAATTTGCGAATGATCTTCCTTTAGCTCAGAAAATATATGAAATGGTTAGAGGGAACCATCGCCAAGAATTATCATTAAGAACCGATATTAAATCGATGATGTCAAGAAAGAACTTCCTATCTAAGAATCCTGTTAATAATTTACATGATGCTTATGATTGGATCAAGGTTTTCGCAGGTGATTTATATGGCCGGTTGATTGAGTTGGACGATGAAAGTTTAAACCTACTGATGCTGCAAGAGTCCCGTCGAGGCAAGGGCTATATAAGAAGACCTAAAACCATAAGTATTCAGATTTCTTCTACTTCTTATGTGAAACATTCTAAACAAATGCAATTAACGATAGTACGATCATTGGAAAAATTAAAAGAGAATATGGAAGTTACGGGACTTAGATTGCTTATGGATATACTTGATAATTCTACAAGTGTTCATAAATTAAATAATGGAATAAGTTTGAAGGAATTAGATAAGAAGATGGATAAAGATTACTCGAAGATTAATATAATACCACTTGCTAATATGTCATTAGTGATCTCAAATTTTGTCAAAAATACGGATTCAAGTCTAATCGATTCGTACACAGATAATAAGTCAGATATTTCTACTCAAGAGAATATAAGAAGGATGTTTGACGAAGTAAATCAGGAAACTAGAATCAAAAGAGAGAAACTAGAAGACTTCACTCCGAAGACGAAGGCTACTAAAAGTAATTCTAGGTCGATTTCCAAAGAGGAAGTGGAATATGTTAATAAACTATTCACAGACTTCAATTCAGAACAATCATTAGCATCAAATAGAAGGGACCCTTCAAAGAATACACAGGGGGCAATAGATTTAAAGACTAATAATAACCGTGAAGACAAGAAATATATCAGGTCGTTGTTTCATAAATTTGAGAGTGATTCAAATGTCATGAATGTACCATCGAATTCACAACTAGAACAGAAAGAGGAAAAGAAGTATAATATTCTAAAGGACTTGAAAACGAAGTCCTCCAGTCATTCGGTTAAATCAAACAAGACAATCGCCAATGACCAAATATTCTTTGATGATTTGGTTAGTAACAATTACTGTTCTCATTGCAACCTTGAAGTCAAGGATGTTTTTGAACATCGGGATTTTCATATTGCACTTGAACTCTCACTGAAGATCAATGGTCGTGAGATCACTCCTGAAACTACAAATAAACGATCAGGTTCACCATATTCTTCAGAAAGAGAATCGAAAAGTAGCAAAGTGGATAAAGGACAGTCTAGGTTACCTTTTTAATACCTATGTCTCATACATATATAATAAAGTTAATATTAGTAAACCCAATCTTTTTTGTGTAGCTTGACCGAGGATCAATAAATTGAAAAAACCACTCTTTTTTCCATCTTATGAAGATACAGTATTATTAATCAATTTAAAGTCGAAGATTGCCTACGATGTCCAAAGTAAATGATAATGCATTGCCGTTTGCCGATGCATCAACTATAGGTATGTTTTGTCCTGCGTCATAAATATGCGCTAAAGTATTTAGTTGTTGTGGGGTATCTCCAGTTCGTAATACTAACTAAACAACAGTACGGGCACATCAAAAAGATACATATTTTGAATCTTCATATCGTTCACAAGTGCAAGATGTTCTTCATATATTTAAGGGTCAGCGGTTTATCAATACTCATCCTGAGGAAATTACAGTTGCAGCGAAGTCTTTATATCTAGTGCTCACAACATTGATTGGCGCAAGAACTTTGGGAGAAGAATATGTTGATCTAATATACGTTAATAGATCTGGTAAAAGGTTCCCTCAATTACTCCCCAAGCTCGGGTTCATTTTGTCATATGCATTGTTACCGTACTTATTTACCAGACTAGTGAGGAAGTACAAACCAAAAGATGGAGATGAATCTAGTAAACTAAAGGGTGGTACAAAGTACTGGTTAGTTCAGTTTTTTTCATCATATCCCAAAGTGTTGGACACACTCATGAATTTGCATATCGCTATATTTTATTTCAAAGGAGAATTTTATTCATTATCAAAACGTATATTTGGATTACGATATGCATTTGGACATAATAAAGATCCAAAGAAATTAAGACTCGCCAGGGGTGATTACTCGTTATTGGGTGGTATTATTTTGTTACAGTTTTTTGTGAAATCGTTAATCAAATTTAAAAGCCACATTGATGACAAAAATAAAATAAATCAACCTGAAAATGAGGAAAACGAAAAGAATGTCAATGCAATATTTAAAATATCCCAATTAGAAAAATTCAGAGACAAGGTGACTACTAACAATAAACTCTATAAGCAAATCAATGTGGATTTATCGAATCCTAATCATTTGCCTTATTTACCTGAAAACTCAAGAGCTTGCATGTTATGTTTATCGCCAATGACAAACCCATCCGCAGCCTCATGTGGGCATTTATTCTGTTGGGAATGTATTGTAGATTGGGTACGAGACCATCCTGAATGTCCTTTATGTAGACAACAATGTCAAGAACAAAATTTGCTTCCATTAAAATGATGAATTCTGCTGTGCAGAGATAGTTATATTTGGTATCATATAAAGAACAGGTCGTTGATATCACTATTTCAGTCTATATATATCAAACCTCTGTATATAGATACATATTCATGTTTGAATAATGCAAAATATGTACTATGTTTGATTCACGTGCCGGATAGCGCTGTTTTTTATTTCTAGTCGACTCAATTTAATATTTTTGGCGATAAACGTAGAGTTGATCCATAATTCACCAATGAGTTCAAATCAAAGGCATAATGTGCCTAAAGGTGGTGTCGACGAGGACTATCTAGGAAAGTTAGAAAGTAACATTCACGACAATAATCATGATAATTATCATAAGTCGTTTAAACCCAATAAACACAAATCATTATACTCGAGAGCTGAATCACTGTTTAGATCTGCATTGAAAGTAATACAAGATGTTTGTGTCAGGCATAAGAAGATTTTAATCGTATTCATTACTTTGATTTGTTTGTCGCTTTTTACATCTACTCCATTTATTCCCCATTTAAGGTCAAAAGATCCAAAAGTCGTAATAATATTAGCAGCGAATGAAGGTGGGGGTGTTTTGAAATGGAAGGGGCCGCAAGAATGGTCGGTGGAAAGATCTTCAATCGCTAACAAAAAGCATTATGCCAAAGTTCATGGTTATGGTTTAACCATCAAGGATATGACACTTAAGAAGAGGTATTCTCATGAATGGAGAGAGTCATGGGAAAAAGTTGATATAATGAAGCAAGTGATGAGGCAGTACCCTGAAACCGAGTGGTTCTGGTGGTTAGACTTGCATACCTATATTATGGAACCACAAACATCGTTAGAACAGCATTTCTTGGATAACTTGGAAAATGCAACTTACAGATCTTTGGAAACATTCAATCCCCTCAACCTCCCGGTTGATTTGCCGTATGTGGACTATAAAAGCCCTATTGATATGATTATTACGCAAGATTGTGGTGGGTTTAATTTAGGCTCATTTATGTTAAGAAGGTCTGCTTGGTCCGAAATGCTATTAGACTTTTGGTGGGATCCTGCCATGTATGAGCAAATGCATATGGCTTGGGAACACAATGAGCAAGATGCATTAGAGACGTTATATACAACCCAATCTTGGATAAGAGAAAGAATCGGATTTCTTCCTTTGAGAAAAATTAATGCCTTCCCACCAGGAGCATGTTCTGAATTCTCTAATGACCCGAGATATTTCTACAAAGAGCGTGATTTTGTTATTAATATGGCTGGTTGTGAATGGGGAAGAGACTGTTGGGGTGAAATGGAACATTATAAAGCATTATCCAAGAGACTTCATAAGAGATGGTGGAAATTTTGGTAGCTTTGAACTTTCGGTATCATGTTCGGTATATTTATAAAATCACAGGTAACCAATAGTACATGGGTGTATATTTACATAAGTATCAATAGAACCTTTAATAGACTAACTGTGTTTTGTAGTGTGGTAGTGCGTGGTTCAAATATATGGGACACCAAATTTTTGATGTATTAGATAAACACGCCAAATGGTTATAATAGTTTATATTTTTCAATATTGACATGTCTGACAATTTTTGGTTCAATGATGATGCCTTCCTGGGTAGTAATCAAAACGACAACAGTAATTCGTCGAATAATGATGACTTCTTGAATAATATTTTTGACCAAAATGCAGAACAACAGCAAGCACAACAGAACGTACGACAGGCGGCTAATCAATCATCGTCAAATAACACACCTTCAGCTCCACAAGATATAAGTCCAGCAGCCATATTGGGACAGCAACAGAGTATTAATCCGCAGATGTTTATGAGACAACAGCAACAACAGCTTCAAGAGCAACAACGTCCTCAGCAGCCTCAACAAGCTCAACAATCTCAACAGCCTCAACAGTTCCAACAGCCACAACAACTGCAACAACCTCATCAGACACAACAACCCGGACAAAATAGCCAACAGGCTTTAAATCAGGGGAGAAAGGAACAACTATTGAGGATGAGACAACAAATTATGCAACAGCAAATGCTTCATGCCCAGCAAACACAACAACAATTTCAACAACCTCAGCTGTTAGCTGGATCGGCAAATGCTAATAGTAACATGACTCCACAAGCACAAGGTGCTATGCGTCTTAAAAATATGGAATTACAAGAATCTTCTTCACCAAATACATTTTCAAGATCGCAAATCCCAAATGCTTCCCAGCCTGCACCATCCATGGGTAATATAGGTCAGTCTCAAGGTCGGCCCCAGCCACAGATGACACAACCGCAAAGTGCATCAAATTCGTACTCCAACAGTCCTGTCAACAATATGGTCTCGCCCCAGGTTCAGAGTAATATGCCCCAAAGTCAGCAGCAGACACCTCGTTTTTCAAATCCACAAATTTCTCAACCCTCAATACCGCCCCAAGGTCAGCAAGGTAATAAGCCTCCACCAGCTCAAATCGCTCAATTACAAATTGAATTGTTTTTAACTACTTTGAATGATTTCATGAACCGTCGTGGTTCACCAATATCACAACCACCAGTAGTTAATAACAAAAGAGTTAATTTGTTTTTCTTGTACATATTATCTCATAAACTCGGGGGACCGCAAGCGTTAATAAAAGCGTTGCAGCAACACTCTCAACAACAACCTTCGCCGTGGTCAACTATTTGTCAGAAATTAGGTCTTTATGATGGAGTTAACATCCAACAAGATGTGGCACTGAAAGCTCGGATTGAGAAAGAAGTTGGAAATTGTTATGTTCAGTATTTATTACCATACGAGCAATATAACAGTACACCTGATGGCCAGAAGGATATTCAGCAAAAAAGGCTTCATTTTCAAAAACAGCTTCTCGTTAGGTTTCAACAACAGCAACAACAGCAACAACAGCAACAACAACAACAACAACACCAACAACAACAACTGCAGCTGCATCAAGGATCACCAGTACCAAATATTGCCCAAGCTCCCCAACCACCTCATCAAGCATCACCACAAGGAAGTAATATTGCGTCTCCAGTTGTTAACATGCACCTGAATATGATGCAACTGGCCCAAAGTCCCGTAATGAGCCAAGCACCTACACCACAACAACAGAGAAAACTTTCTCGTGTTAGTAGTAATCAAAATTCTCCAAACGTACAATCTCCATATATGCAGCAGCTGATCTCTCGTTCAGGCAGTATAGTACAACAGGCTCAGATGAATTCACAACAACAGGCTCAGATGAATTCACAACAACAGGCTCAGATGAATTCACAACAACAGGCTCAAATGAATTCACAACAACAAGCTCAAATGCAGCAACAACAACTTCAAATGCAACAACAGCAACAGCACCAACAACAACTTCAAATGCAACAACAGCAACAAAAGCAACAACAGCAACAAAAGCACCAACAGCAGCAGCAATTGCAGAGACAGCAAAAAGTAGCATCTGCTAGAAATTCGAACGTCGATATTTTGGGCCAAAGTTCAGCATCTGAGTCTCCAAGAATTCCAGATCAAAAGGACCCACAATCTGTTACTCGACCAGCGTCAACTACTTCTGAACATGATGTCAAAAGTAAACCCCAAGAACCTAATGTTGTAAAAAATTATGTTCCAATTCGTAAGGTAATTGAGTCACATGCGGGATATGATATTAAGTCATTATCAACAGTTGCAGGTGAAATCGAAATAACCAAGCCAGTATATTTATTTGCTCCAGAGTTGGGCTCTATAAACATTCATGCACTTACTATGGCTTTAAAGAATTACAGCTATTCCAATAGAGGAGAAGTATTTAGTGCCTTGAACACTTTATTAGTTACAACTTCAGATTCCAATTATGCTTTCAAAATATCTGATTGTTCCGAATTATTGGATTCATTGGCAACATTGGGATTAACTGTACTAGATCAACTTATAGAGGACAAGGATAATAGAAGGAAGGAAGAGGAATACATTGAAACATTTTCTTCGAATAATAATATTGAAAATATCTTCGACAGATACGTAAATAACAAGAACACCAATGACATGGTTGAAGAAGATATTACGTACGTAGTTGATTCTTTGACCGGGCAGCTCGTTGAAGATGAGGATTCCGATATGGAGATGGATGAAGTGTTTTCGCCTAGTGAATGGAATTCTACGTCTTGTACTTCTGAATCAAATAGTCCTAATGCTAATCGTGCTGATAATGAAACCGAATTTTACATTACTGATTATATGTCTACGTTGCTCAACTTCAGAAAGGAAAATAAATATCACTTCAGCAAAATACAAACAAAAAATGCCATGGATGATCAAATTATGCTAGTTGATCAATTAATCACTATAACCATGATATTGCGAAATATTTCGTTTTCTGAGGCAAATAGAACCAAGATGTCTAAGAATGAAATATTCAAAAATTTAATTTTTAAGATTGTTAAAGCTATTGCAACTACATCAAAGAGCTTTGTATTCCATAGAAAAAGACTATGTTTGTTAAAGGATTGTCTTCTCATGTTAGATAATATTGCTTTCACTGTGGAGTTAACTTCATTAGAAGAAGCTTTCTTAGCATTTGTATTGATTAGCTCCTTTGGACCAAAATTGGAGGATGACTTTGACATTCCAAAGGTCAATTTGGATGTCTACTCATATTTACCATTTGGTATCGACGCATTAACGAAATTGTTGGTTAGGGAACCTCATAATAGATCTTTAATGCAAGCTGTGTTAACTGGTAGTTTGAATATTTCTCCCTCAACTTACTCAAGTGCTAGTACTCTTAATATTACACCAGAGGATCAAGCGGAAACGAAAAGGTTAATGTTGGCGTTTTTGGATGGTGACGAAGAAGGCCTCAAATCGGGAAAATTATTAACTAAGTCATTCCAATTGTTTTTATGTTTAATTCCCTATGAATCAAGCACATATGAGTTTTCGAAGTTCATTTTCACGCGATCTTCTACTGTATCTCAAGCTCTATTTGGGGTAAAGCTCATTATTGATATGGTTCCAGTTGAAGATAGCACATCTCCTTTAAGTAACATATCGGTATTGTGGATCCTTCATAATAAAGAAGTTATACTCTCAAATTTAACGAGGATGTCAATGTCTTTAATTGTGGAAGCTTCTAAATTGCATCCTAGTACTAATGAATATAAAATACTATCTTTAGTATTAGTGAGGTCGTTCATTATGGTTAATTCATTAGTAAATGATGCCATTAATACTTACGAGTTTTTAAGCGATGATAATCTTAAGAGAGAGATAAAGGACCTTGCAAAGCTCTCTAGGGTTATTCCAGATCCAAGCTCGGCATTAGACTGTTTATTGTCTCCGGCTGTTGATGCCGGTTTGAGTAAGGAAGTAATCCGTCTTCTTGCTTTATTAAGAAGGTTATCAAAGGACTGATGTATATAGCTTTATAGACTTTTCTTCAATACAGAATTAATAATTTCAAGATCAAGAATCTGTAAAATTAAATAAACCTATTGAATGGTTACATTACAATACATGTAGTTCATTTATAAAAAACCGGTTATAATTTAATATGATTTCTGCACTTTCTGTTAAAAAGTAAAAAAATTATCCATATACTAAATATTTAATTTAAAAAATTCATTTTACAAAACCTCTTAGCATACAACATATCTATTATACCTCAGGAGTAGGGTTCTTTTATTTGAAGTATTTATGATAATTTTCTCTTTTTTGCACCCTATTGAGTTTAGGCGACCGAGAAATATCTGGTCCAAACCATACACTTTAAATGATTTTTAGTTGCAATCATCAAGGAACCAACATAGCACAAATCCATACAATTATTATCGCTTCTGCTACATATATTTGACTAGTAGTTGCTTGTATAGGTTGCAGAAGAGTGATGACAAAATCTTCATAAGATAGATAATGATTACATAATATAAACAACCTCGGCACTCACTCGACTTCATTACTTTGGTGGGGTATTCATTTGTAATGATTCAAGACATTAATATATATATCTGTTTTCTGTATTCTAAAGGTAATAATACACAAATCGTTGTAATACTTATAAAATGTCATTTGTCGGTGGAGGAGCTGACTGTTCAGCAAATAGTAATGCTATTGCTCAATTTAACAAGCATACTCAACAAGATAGATCGTTACAGAGACAAGCGGCAAATCAGCAAGGTATAGTTCAAAATGGTCAAGGATTTAAGAAAGATAATATGATGAATGAGAGGGAAAGACAAAACATGGATCAGTTTATGAATAATGGACCTGCTCAATCAAATTTCCAATTTCAACCTATGAGACATGAATTGAATATGATCCAACAGAACCATAAGCAGCCTAATGTTCAGAATAATTGGACTAATGAGTTTCAAACGAATTCTCCGTCGCCAATACAAAGAAATACGCCATTAACGAAGACCGGAAGTCCTGTAAATGCACAATGGGCGACAGAATTCCAACAGCCAATGGATCAAACATTTCAACAATCAAACCAGCAACAGTTTAATAATATGCCGAATATGAGAATGGGGGGATATCGTCCTATGATGGGAATGTCTATGATGGGAAATGGAATGCACCAACAACAAAATCAGGTGCAGCATCAAGAACAGAACCAAGATCATCAAGTTGATTGGGATAACCAATTTAAGGAAATAGAACAATTGACAAACGAGACTAAAGATGCTGAAGCTGAACAAGTAAAAGGTGAAGAGGCACCAGAAATCGTTATTGATGATAAGTACCAAGCTACTTTCCAGGAAGTTTGGGACAGTTTAAACTCGGAGGAGGTTGAAAACGATTTTATAAACCAACAATACGAGGAATTCAAGAATACTAAGCATGATTCCATGCCTGCGGACATGGCTCAGTGGGAAAAGGATTTTGCTAAATATGCATCCACTAGAGCTCACTTCGGAGATTATCAATTTGAAGATAACCAGCATAATCAATTCTTAGATTTACCAAAGGAACTGGATCTATATGAAATCGGATTACAGCTAATGGAAAATGGAGCCAAGTTGTCGGAAGCAGCATTAGCATTTGAAGCTGCTATTCAGAGAAATGAAGGTCATATAAATGCATGGTTGAAGTTGGGTGAAGTTCAAACACAGAACGAAAAAGAAATTGCTGGCATTTCAGCGTTGGAAAAATGTTTGGAATTGCATCCTGAAAATTCTGAAGCCTTAATGACTTTGGCAATTTCGTACATCAATGAAGGATATGATAATGCCGCGTTTGCTACGTTAGAAAGATGGATCTCCACAAAATACCCACAAGTTGCTGACAAAGCTCGTCAACAAAATCCAGCAATCGATGATGAGGATAGATTTTCTTTAAACAAGAGAGTGACCGAATTGTTCTTGAAGGCGGCACAGTTGTCTCCAAACCTGGCAAATATGGACCCCGATGTCCAAATGGGGTTGGGTGTCTTGTTCTATGCCAATGAAGACTTCGATAAGACTATAGATTGCTTCAAAGCTGCCTTATCCATCAAGCCGGATGATGCGGTGTTATGGAACAGATTAGGTGCCTCTTTGGCCAATTCTAACCGTTCTGAAGAAGCTGTCGATGCGTACTTCAAGGCATTAGAATTGAAGCCAACTTTTGTAAGGGCAAGATACAATTTAGGTGTTTCGTGCATAAACATTGGTTGTTACAAAGAAGCAGCGGAACATTTACTTAGTGGCTTATCAATGCACCAAGTCGAAGGAGTTGAAACGGATGCGTCAAGCACCTTAAACCATAACCAATCGACTTCGTTGACAGAAACTTTGAAGAGAGCTTTTATTGCATTGGATCGCAGAGATTTATTGGAGAAGGTCAAACCTGACATGGATATAAATCAATTCAGAGGTGAATTTAACTTTTAAGAGGTTGCAGATATTCTTAGTATATAGTAATAACATGAAAATGGTCAGGTGACCATAATGACTCAGTCTAAAATTTTCTCAAAAGATACTGGAGCATAGATAAAAGATAATCAAGTTAGCGTTTAATATTAGTAGTATACGTTTCCGATAAATATAAGAGATAAATCTTTATTAACAAGTCTGATATGACATTTCCTATATTACCTATAATTTCTTCTTCGAATAAAGAAGCTATAGCTGAATTCTCGGTTGTGGGGCAAGTTTTGCTTCCACTCGAATCAGTTTCGATTTCCAAACATTTTCTCCACCAATTTCCAAATTACGTCGATGTGAATGTTGACACTACCTCTTCAGAAGTTAATATTGACCAAATTGTTGAATTGTTAAATAATGGGATTAAACAGGTATTTATTAAAGAGTCTCAAATTGAAGAATTCATTTTGTCGGGTGGATTACCAAGTTCCAGATTCGCTATTAAATTTGACACTTCAAAAGTCCCGGATAAGGCATTAGAAACAGACAGTGATTTTGTATTCAATTGCGAACTTGCAAAGGATGACGTCAAAAAGTATGGTCAAAGTGGTAATAGAGGTCTCTACTTTGAAAATCCTTCCATTACTCAGGAATTGGCCAATAAATTAGCTGCTGAAGATATTTATCCTATAATTGCGAGCGAGTCTTTAACTACTACATCTTCAGAGAGTGGAAAGATTTCAATTTCCTCATTGTTTACTGCTGGTTTGACCACTGATCGTCCTGATGGTCTTTTCACTACTTTGATCACTACGCCTGCTCCATCCTATACTGCATTAGGTGTTGTCTATTCGTCAGTTGAATCTATTCATGCATCGATTGCTGAAAAACAAGGTGTGTATCAATCCAGAAAACGTCGTGACGAATTATGGTATAAGGGTAAGACTAGTGGTGCAACTCAAAAATTAGTCAAGTTGGAAAAGGACTGCGACTCTGATGTAGTCAAATTTATTGTTGAACCAAGAGAAGGTTATGGATTCTGCCACTTAGATAAAAATTTTACATGCTTCCATGATGGGGAATTAAAACAAAAGGGTGAAAGCTTCGGTAAGGGATTAGCAAAGTTGGATAGTACATTACATGATAGATTTCAGTCTGCACCTGAAGGTTCTTATACTAAAAGATTATTTAATGACGAACCGTTATTGATCGCCAAGTTGAAGGAAGAGTTGGATGAATTAATAGAAGCTGGACAAAGTTCTTCAAAAGATACTAATGAGGTTGCTTGGGAATGTGCGGATTTGTTTTATTTCGCAATGGTTTGGTGTATCAAGAATGGTGTTAGGTTAGCAGATGTGGAAAGAAATCTTGATATAAAAAGCGGGAAAGTTACTAGACGTAAGGGTGACGCTAAGCCAGCATACTTAAGGACTGATAACGAGACGAGCGAACAAACTAATGAAGAATACAAGATGGAAACCATATATGTTAATGATAAAGCTACAGATCCTAAAGATATAGCCAAGGCTTTAAATAGACCTGTTCAAAAAACTGCGGACATTATGAAATTAGTCTTACCAATAATTGATAAAGTTAAGAAAGACGGTGACAAAGCATTATTAGAGCTTACATCCAAATTCGATGGTGTCAAATTGAATTCCCCAATTATTAGTGCACCTTTCCCAGCTGATTTAATGGATATTTCTGAAGATATGAAAGAAGCTATTGATTTATCAATGAGAAATATCGAAAAATTTCATGCAGCACAATTACCAAAGGAAAAAATAATGACAGTTGAAACTGCCCCAGGAGTTTACTGCTCTCGTTTTGCTAAGGCAATCGAAAATGTTGGATTATACGTTCCGGGTGGTACTGCCGTATTACCTTCTACTGCTATGATGTTAGGTGTGCCAGCAAAAGTTGCCGGCTGTTCGAACATTATTGTTGCTACTCCACCTTCCCGTTCTACAGGTAAGTTGACACCAGAAGTTGTATACGTTGCTCATAAACTAGGTGCTAAGTGTATCGTTATGGCAGGTGGTGCTCAAGCTGTCACTGCAATGGCCTACGGTACTGAAAGCGTGCTCAAATGTGATAAGATTTTAGGTCCAGGTAATCAATTCGTGACTGCTGCAAAAATGCATGTCCAAAACGATACACAAGCATTATGTTCGATTGATATGCCAGCTGGTCCATCTGAGGTTTTAGTTATTGCTGATGGTAAAGCGGATGCTGATTTTGTTGCAAGTGACTTATTATCACAAGCCGAACATGGTGTTGATTCTCAAGTTATTTTGATCGGTGTTGGTTTAACGAAGGAAAAGTTGACCGAATTCGAATCTGCCGTCAAGAAACAAGCTCAGGTTTTACCAAGAAAAGATATTGTGGCCAAATGCTTATCACACTCGTACACCTTGTTAGTTGACACATATGATGAAGCGTTCAACTTATCCAATAAATATGCTCCGGAACATTTAATCTTACAAGTTGAAAATGCTAGATCCTTTGTTCCTGATTATATTGAAAATGCTGGATCAGTATTTGTTGGTGGTTTATCTCCAGAATCCT